TGTGTGTGTGTGTGTGTGTGTGTGTGTGTGTGTGTGTGTGTGTGTGTATAGATGATGAAGTATAATGCCAACAACTCATTCTCAAACAGTTGAGGAAATAAAAGAGCCTTTATCTCTTTCTAAAATTGTTCTGTAGGTATGAAACTCCTTCAGAATTAAACCAACCCCATGCTCAAGCTCGTATGTCCTCTGAGAAACTTGACTGTCAGAGCACATACTGAATCAAACTTGAAAACTAAATTCATCCCTTTCATATCAGGCCCCCTGCCAAAAGCAGAGAAGGCTGAGGACCTGGACACAGCAATCCTGCCTCCCTCCTGGACTGTACAGCCTACTGTCCAATACGAGCCTAGTGCTTCACACTTCCTAACTTGGTGACTAGAAGGAACCAGTAGTTAGGGCATGGTTAACTATGTAAACTTAACTTTCTTTTATTAGCACACCGAGTTCCACAAGGAAGAAGTGGCTTTTGAATCTTTTTGAGTGCTGTTGTTTTGAGCATCTTAAAGGCGAATCTGTTTTGAGTCGAATAATTTGTGCTGCTTTGTATGTTATTCAGCTGCTCACTTTCCCTAATTAAAATGCACGACTGTTGTCCTGTATAACATGCTGGTGAACTTGTTTCATTTCTAACTTTCTGTAATTGGAGGCTGCTACATATACCCAGTGAACACTCAATAAAATTAGTTGAGGGTAATGATGATGAAGACAAGGCTCACAGTGTCATTGTTATTTCTCCCAACCACCTCCACCCTGGAAGTTCAGATTGTTCGCATTTAGAAGTTGTTGCTATGGAGTTGAAGGGATAGATTTGCTGAGAGCTTATGATATATGATCCATAAAAGGTGGTCATGGTAGGTGTCTGACTGAATAGAAAATGCCAAACTTGATGTGGGAGGATCTGTTTGGCTCTTGCATTTGAGCCATAAGCAATGTCTTTCATCCAGCTCAACTTGAATATCAAACCTATTTCTGTCTTGGGACCAGCGTCTCTCACCTTTCTCTCTGTGCACCAATACCGTACTGCAGGTCCAGCTTTTGTTACTTGAGCCTTTCCTGTCTTTCAGGAAAGTCAGTGGAATGAACTTCTGGAAACTCTGCACCGACTTCCCATCCCTGACCCTGGAGTGTCTGTTCATCTCAATGTGGTAAGTGGGACAGGATGGTGGCCACCCCATGAAAGGATGTTTGTATGAACCTTCAGAGGAGGCCAGAGCCACACTCGTAGCCTAAGCCCAGGTTCAAGACCGTCTGGGGTGTGGGATTCACTGAAGAATAGATGCTTCTCAAATGACCACTCATATTCTTAGTCATAGATGCAATGAATATGATGGCTGGAGCTGCTAGCCTCATCGCCCCATCCTTGGTCACCTGTATTCTCTCTGTCACAGTTAAAGCCCATTCTGGACCTTAGTGTTCAAATACTACCTTCCTCCTGTATGCCTGTTAAATCATGAATCCTTCAAAACCAATTCTGATTCTGCTTCCTGAGAAATCCTCCCCTGACCTCACAAGCTGAATTAGGCCTTCTCTTTGTCCCTAATCCTCTAGCATGCTCTTGGAGACTTATTTCCATCCTGTTGGAGTAAGCTGGTATCCAGTGCCTGTCGTTTGTAGACAGAGTGAGAGTTCTCATCCTCGTTTCTGGCCTACAGCAGTCATTATTTATTTGAGTGCTTTGAGATGCATCTTGTACATTGTATAGTGTGCCAAGGTAGAAATTCCTCTCAGTCAACTGATGGGAAATTTCTGTTCTAGTTGTCTATTTTGCTAGTGCTTGAAGTGATTTTAATCAAGACCTCTAACTGTACAGACTCAGCTTCCTTATTTGTCAGAAAGAGTGTATAGGATTTATTTCTATAATGCAGTTACTACATTATTTGAGCTCTTAAATGGAAGCCATTGTTGCCTTTATCAGAAATCTGTGGTAGACACCCTTTTCAGGCATCCACTGTCACCCAGACCTGTCTCCCTGTCCCGTAGACCTGGCAGATTAGAGAGCGTCCTCTTCAGCTTCTCAAGAAACAGACACTGCTTGTGTCAGGGAACAGGAAGGTGTCTGATTCCATAAGGCAAACTAGTGAGTTTTACCAGAATGGTATCAAAAGCCACAGTATTGCCAATAATGTTAACAATAACAAATCTATTTTATATGAAATATACACCTCTAGTGTTCAAAATTGTCCCAGTGTAGGTGTTAACATTCTCATGCTGTAGAGTTTAGAGAGGGAAAGTGCCCATGCAAAGTCATGTGATTTAGAAATGAAAGCTTAACTTTTACAATGCTAAGCTGAAAGTAGGAAGGGGAAGAGGCAGGGAGGGGAGGGAGGTGGGAAGCGGCAAAGAAGGAAAAAATTTACTTATGGAGGGTTTGCTCATGGGGAGTAGGGACTGCCAGAAAACATGAACAAGTGTGCTTTAGACCCAGTCATCACTAAAGCAGGGGAACCCTGCCTTTCTCTCAATCTTTTTTTGTAAACAGCTTGATCTCACGGCTTTAGCCTGTAATGACATCCGACAGGTAGCTGTGGAGCAGCCTGGCTAGGTCACCAGCTGCCTGGGAGGAAGGGACACTCCTTCCCCAAATGGCTGCACAGGCAGCATGCTGTCAGGCCTCAAGGACAAGCCAGCTCAGGGGTTGGAGGAACTTTTGGGTGTGCAGCTGTTTCATTCCAATGGATTCTCGGAATGTTTCTGACCTCTCCTGGTCCCCAGCATTTCATGGGCGATGGAGCAAGACAGAATCTCCAAGGACAGCCTGGGGACTAGTTGGTTTAGAGCTCTGCCGGCTCACTCTTTCCAATTCATTGCATCTGTAAAGGTTCATCCCCCCTCTTCACTAGACAGTCTTCTTCCCAAAATGCATTTTTATTTGAAGGACTAACATCTCATTTGTAATAGAAATCTTAAAATATTGGTGTAATGCCAAGCCTGGACTTTGTTTATTTAACCACTTTGTGCAAGAGAATGTGCCTATGTAGCTGGTGTAGGTAACTGAGGAAAGCAGAAATATAAACTAGCAGTTTGAACAATAATAATTGTGTATTAAAATCCATTTATTAATCTGGATGTGGTAGTGCATGCCTATAATCCCAACATTCTGGAAGAGGCAGGACGATCAGTACAAGACCAAAACCAGTCTAGTCTGTTTCAGACCAACTGGAGCTACTTAGTGAAACCCTGGGTTCAAATAAATAAAATAGGAAGATACCATTTGTTGTGTGCTAAATGTCCTCATGTATGATGTTCTTATTCAAACCCCTTTATGTTTGCGAATGAAAGCACAGACTTAAGAGTGCTACAACAGAAAGGGCTTGGGTGTGGTTAGTTACACTGCTCTGCATCAAGCCTAGTTCCTCTATATACTCACTGAGTCATCTGAGACTATTTGCCTCATTGAACATTAATTTATCATTAGTAATATGGAGATAATAGCTATCTTAAAATTTTGTTGTGGCAATTAGAAGTGATGTTTATAAAGTATTTAATGTAAAATTTTCCATAAGCAGGTATTCAATAAATTTCTTTTGAGTGTCAGACAAGCAGATCATTGTTGCCATCATTAGTAGTACAGCTTGTCTCCAGGACCCTTTATTTTAGAAAGACTATTCAATTCATTTTTCTAGAAACCTACTTACTCTCCCATTACCCAGAAGCAAGGGGTTGGGGGAGAAGTCCAGATTTGAGCTGAATCTTTCTGCACTGGAGCTTCCCTGGCCTTTCACAATCAATCTTTAAACATCCATCCTTCCAGTACCACTTACCATTATCTTCCAGGCATTTAGAAGCAGCAAAGGAGGTAGCATTAGTTTAGCCAGTTTTTATTTAACTTGGAGATACAGACTTCTTACAAACATGGAAATGCCTCATTATGTCTTGAAGTCTTTCTCACCCAGGCTCCAACTCTCTTCCATGACAATCACACTGTAAGTCAGGAGCTCATTCTCCATTGGCAGCCATCTGTATCCATTTCAGATAGAGTAGCCTTTGACTGGGACTGTCCTGAGCATCATATGAGCAGATTTTGACTACCCCTAAAGACATTTGATCTTTAATGCTGATGAATCAATGCATTGATCCAACATTAGCCTAAGAAGCTCTAATGTGGATATTTACTACAAGAAAACACAGCTCCCTCATCTGAGTAAGGAAGATGCTTCAGAACATTTACCTAAATTTGGCGTTAAGTCAAGTGCAAGTTAGCTCATCTTGAAAGAATATGCAGCTTGTGTTTTTTTTCTTTTCCAGCATTCTTATTTCACTGTGCCTGATACCAGAGAGCTTCCCAGCATACCTGAGAATGTGAGTACTTGGAACGGGAACATTACATTTGTTTGTTTGCTGCTTGTGTTTTTAAAACAATAGGGTGTGTTTTCAATGCTATTTACAGTAGATTACTAAAAGAAAAATAAAAGGAACAATGGATTATAAATAGCAAAAGTAACTTGAAAATATGTATAGAGTACAGACACAAGAAAAGGTATTCTTCATATTTCTCACAGGTAATCCCTTACAGTTGATATTTATTCATTCCAGTCTTTTTAGGACATTTTCACAAGACTAAAATCACATATTAGAAGAACATCTTAGATTTTCATAATTAAGAATCATTGTTGTCCACTGCATAATACTCCATTGGAGGGCACATAGGTGTTCTTTCACAATGGAGTCTCAGATTTTCCTTTCTCTCATCATAAGATTAGATGTTCCATGTAAATGATTATTATGGCAGGTGTATATAAGTACACACACTTCTATGTTCACTTCTCAGAAAGCTCTTCACTTCATAGTAAGTGAAATGGGATGTGCATCCTCACCTTCCGAGGGCTGAGAAGCAGCGAGCTAAAGTGATAGACGCATAGGTTCTTGTTTGCCCCCTGAGTGACCATTCTCCATTAGATCACATCTGCAAAATGCTTTACTTGATTATAAATTGTACAATGTATAATAAAACCTAAAGAGATGCCTGCAAGGTAGATGGTAAAATATAATAGCATGAAATTGACTCTTTTTTCCACTTCAGTTTAGTAATTTTGAGCACATTTCCATTCTGTTGTCTCCAGAATTTTTTTCATCTTTCAAAATTGTAGCTCTGGATCCAGCAACCAATAACCATCAGTGCATGGAAACCATTATTCTAACTATGATTTCTGCCTACTTTTAAGTACCATGAATTTTTTACTATCTTTTGAGACAGCATTTCTCTGTGTAACTCTGGCTGTTCTAGAACTCACTCTGTAAACTAGTCTGACTTCTAATTCAGTGATACACCTGCCTCTTTTTCCCAAGTACTGGGGTGAAAGGTGTGTGCCACCACCTCAATATACTGTTTATCCTTTTGTGTCTGGCTTCTTCCACTTAACATAAAGCCTTTGAAGTTTATTTGTATTGAAACAGGTGGCAAAATTCCTTCCTATTTAAAATGATGTCTCCAAACAGACTCCAAAGAGGAAAATTCATAGCCTTGAATGCTTTTGTAAGAACAAAGAAGTTGAGTTTGAATTCAAGAAATTAAAGTGCTGGGCGTATAGATCAGTGCTCAACACTTTGGTCAATGTGTGCAACGACCTAGGTTTTCTCTAAAGCACTGTAGAATATCAAAAAATAGAAAGAATAAAAATAAATAAGCCAAAATTAGAAAAAATTTTAATTTATTGTTAAGATAATATTGCAAACCAAGACTTCTTAAGAACTTGGAAAGATAAATTGGAGGGAGCGGCTGGAGGGAGGAAAGGGATGAAGAAAAGTGATATAATTATATTATAATAAAAATGTATGTTAAAAAAACTTTAAAAGATGCATAGATATCTCTAATAAATTTGGAAACTAAAATAAAAAAATATTTTAGCAAGGTGTGACTGGTTAAGATAAACATAATATGGTTAGAGAATAACTTGGGAAGATAAACACATTGCCATCTCCACTCTCTCTTCTATACATACATCAGTGATCCATTTGCTTTATTAGCATGTTCAAGGATCTAGTTTATAGACAAGGTGTGTGTCTGTGCAGTGAGTGTTTATGTCATGTTTGTGTGCATGTATGTGATTATGTGTACGCGTGATATAAAGGAAGAGTGTTCAGCTTCGCTCATCTCAGAGGAAGTGGTTCTCAGGCAGATGTCTTTCTTTGTAGCCTTTGGACAGTGCTGTCCAGAGCTCTTAGGGTTCTCGTGGAGCCCTAGGGAGATAGATGGCTGGCTGACCAGAGTGTTGGGTGCCTGCCCCTGTCTTATGTAGATCTAGTTAATTTATCACTGCTTAAATTGGGAGTTGTGTAATACTTGAGACAAAAAAAAAAAGATTTCTTTGATTTATTTTTAAAAAATAACCTAAGTTAACAATTTAACAACATACAAGGGGGACCATACTAAATGCATACCTCCACAGCTGATTCTTCATGTTTAATGTTCAATGATTATTAAGAACATTTGCCCATGTCATTCAAAATCTATCACAAAAATCACCAGAGGTGCATATTAAAACTGAGTGTAATTATCACTATCCCTTCCCCAACCTTAATGCTGTGCTCCCTCCAACGTTTGATGACTCTCTCCCCAGAACTTTCTCTGTGATTTTATAGGGTGACCATGCTGAGAATCTGTTTGTGCAGTAGACTTTGTTGTTGTTGTTTAAGCCAGGGTTTCTCCTTGTAACAGCCCTGAAAATCCTGGAACTCACTTTGTAGACCAGGCTAGCATTGAACTCAGAATTCTACCTGCCTCTGCCTCCCGAAGTGCTGGGATTAAAGGCATGCACCACCACTGCCTGGCTAGACTTTTTTAATAGATAGATAGATAGATAGATAGATAGATAGATAGATAGATAGATAGATAGATAGATAGATAGATAGATAGATAGATAGATAGATAGATGTGTACATTTGTGTTACTGTGTGAGTATATCCCATATCATTGATGGTGCTTTAGGGGGTCATAAGAGGGCATCAAATCCTCTGCAAGTGAAATCACAGGCAGTTCTGAGCCACCATATGGGTGCTGGAAACCAAATCTTAGTCTTAGGCCCTCTGGAATAGCAGCCAGTGTTCTTATCCACTGAGTCATCTCTCCAGCCCCCTTCATACTTTTAACATGTCCCTGCTGCTACATCTCAGGATGTGTTTGTTTGTTTCGTGTATCACGTATTGCTTTTCTTATGTGAGATAAGAATTTTATGCCCCTTCCCAGAAACCCAGGCTCTCATTCGTCCATTTTTCCCCCATTTTTCTTCTGTTTAGTGGTCAGATTGTGGTTCCTTTCTTCTCTTGTACAACTTGCCTTATGTGAGATCTTGGGTTTAACATCTTCCTCTTTCTTAGTTTTAGTCCTCGTTCTGTGCAAGCATTCTCCAACAGTGTCCTGAGAGTGTGTTTGTTGTTGGAAGCCACAGTTTTGAACTTGTGTGATTGGATAGCATGAATGGGGAATTCTAGTTTTCAGATCACTCTCCTTCCAGAAATGTGAATGCATGTTCACTGGCTACTTTTTACTCTTATAGCTTTGGAGGTTTGGTCAATTTGATCCCTGTTATTATTTTTTATGATCTGTTGTCTTCTAAAGTCCTGAAATTGAACAATGACATACTTAATAGGTCTGTTTTCACCCATTGTCCCTGGCACTTATTATCTTGTCTGATTTGGAAACTCACATCCTTACAGCTTACAAGTATTCTCACATTATTGGGTTTTTTTTTTAATCTTCATTTCTCTTTTCTGTGGCAGATAGGATTAAACCTCCTGTATTGATCCACTGATGTTCATTTTCTCTTATGTTTCCCATATTTGTCTTTTAGATTGACCTCTATCTACTTTCTTCAACATCCTTTCCATTCTTCCACATTTCCTTCTTTGGCCATCTCATTGTTCTCCTTTTAAAAAAATGCCTCATTTTAAATGTGAGACTTTTATTCCCAGATTTTAAAATTAATTCTAATTCTTTTTCCTCCTCTTCCTGATCTCCCTCCATTGTCCAGACTTGTCAGTGGACACCAGCAACACTCCCAGATCAGTCTCCTGAGCAGCTAGTGCCTTTTGACCATCCTCACTTTAACTGGTATCTCCAGGCCCTTCTGGTTCTACATGGACAGGTTCAAAAAGCCCACTGAGGAGCTGGGGGCTTGAGAGAAGAATCTTGGGAATGAATCACTTCCTTTTCATTTGTGCCCTTTCCTAACCTCTGGAGGCTGACCAACTCCACTTCCTGAGCTTTCCTGAGGCTCTGTGTATAAGCTGGGTTTGGCACTTTTTGCCATGTCTACCCACCCATCTCAACCTTAGTGTCCAGCTTTCCCTTTCATCCTCCACCAACTCTCATGTCACCTTGGATCAGATGATCTTTCGTTATCTGTCTTATGCGTTGTTGGATTCTTTTTAAAAGTGTCCTCGGGTGGTACTCACTATATGATTGCTCTCAATCTCCTTCTTACTCCACTCCCCAAGCCATGATAGCCAGAAATGCCTCCAGGAATTACCCAATGTGCCCTCAGTGATAAATGGTCCCAGGTTGAGAATCAATTCATTAATAACACCATTTTAGAGTTTAGTACATTGACACCTCTCTTCTGTTTTTCAAAGTTCATAGCTTTGAAAATGCTTTTACTTGATTTTCCCTTGAGGTGTTGGGAAGAAAAGAGAAACTTGGAATTTCTCTCTGAGAAAATACCTAGGTACATGTCGTGTTCTTCTATGCTAAATAATAACAGGATAAAAATGGTTACCTGGATATGAATTGTCATTTTATTTTAAGGGCCAAGAATTCCTTAAGTACTTGATTTTAAAGTCGCTAAACGTTTTTATAATGCCTAAATTTCAGCACTATAACTACTTAAATGTTTGTCTAAACTGTCTTTTCCATATAACCACCTTGAGTTCCTGGCTACATTGTATGTTACCTCCCCTGCCCCACCATTTTTGAAATTTCGATTTTTCTCTGCTGGTTTTGTCACTAATGAACTAATTCCCTGTGTATGACCCATTGTCCCCTAAATCCTCCTTTGCACACCAGTAGAAGGCTGTTCTTGTTTGTTTCTGAGAAGAATAATAGTACCAGTCTGTCAGTCTCTTTTAAGGCACACCATTCCATTTTAATCCCTGCAGCTACTCTGTGAGAGGTGGATGTGAGCCTCATTTCACATGCACAGAGCTCATTCGCTCTGGTTGCTAACCTAAGTCTGCAGGTCAGTGGGATTTAGCAACCCAGGTTCTAAGGTTTGACTCCCTGGGGTTGACTTGTGATATTCATGAGAAAAAATATTTTATATCTGAAATATACAACATAGCAAAGAAGCTTTTCCTCTCAGGAGACA